GTGTGTGTGTGTGACTGTGTGTGTGTGACTGTGTGTGTGTGACTGTGTGTGACTGTGTGTGTGTGACTGTGTGACTATGTGTGTGTGTGTGTGATTGTGTGACTGTGTGTGTGTGACTGTGTGACTGTGTGTGTGTGACTGTGTGACTGTGTGTGACTGTGTGTGTGTGTGACTGTATGTGTACTGTGTGTGTGACTGTGTGTGTGTGACTGTGTGTGTGACTGTGTGTGTGACTGTGTGACTGTGTGTGTGACTGTGTGTGTGTGACTGTGTGTGTGACTGTGTGTGACTGTGTGTGTGTGACTGTGTGTGTGTGTGACTGTGTGACTGTGTGTGACTGTGTGTGTGTAGGTGTGCTTGGTCGACCTTGGCTCATTCCGCGTGCTGGACGAGTTGGTGAGGAGGGAGACTGTGTGTGTGTGTGTGACTGTGTGTGTGTGACTGTGTGTGTGACTGTGTGTGTGTGACTGTGTGTGTGACTGTGTGTGTGTGACTGTGTGTGACTGTGTGTGTGTGACTGTGTGTGTGTGACTGTGTGTGACTGTGTGTGTGTGACTGTGTGACTGTGTGTGTGACTGTGTGTGACTGTGTGTGTGACTGTGTGTGACTGTGACTGTGTGTGACTGTGTGTGTGTGACTGTGTGACTGTGTGACTGTGTGTGTGTGACTGTGTGACTGTGTGTGTGTGACTGTGTGTGTGACTGTGTGTGACTGTGTGTGTGACTGTGTGTGTGTGTGACTGTGTGTGACTGTGTGTGACTGTGTGTGTGTGACTGTGTGACTGTGTGTGACTGTGTGTGACTGTGTGTGTGTGTGACTGTGTGTGACTGTGTGTGTGTGTGACTGTGTGTGACTGTGTGTGTGTGTGACTGTGTGACTGTGTGTGTGTGACTGTGTGTGTGTGTGTGACTGTGTGTGTGACTGTGTGTGACTGTGTGTGTGTGTGACTGTGTGTGTGTGTGTGACTGTGTGTGTGACTGTGTGTGTGACTGTGTGTGTGTGTGACTGTGTACTGTGTGTGACTGTGTGTGACTGTGTGTGTGGCTGTGTGACTGTGTGTGTGACTGTGTGTGACTGTGTGTGTGTGTGACTGTGTGTGACTGTGTGTGTGTGACTGTGTGTGTGACTGTGTGTGACTGTGTGTGTGTGTGTGTGACTGTGTGTGACTGTGTGTGACTGTGTGTGTGTGACTGTGTGTGTGTGTGACTGTGTGTGACTGTGTGTGTGTGTGTGTGTACTGTGTGTGACTGTGTGTGACTGTGTGTGTGACTGTGTGACTGTGTGTGTGACTGTGTGACTGTGTGTGTGACTGTGTGTGACTGTGTGTGTGTGACTGTGTGTGTGTGACTGTGTGTGACTGTGTGTGTGTGTGACTGTGTGTGACTGTGTGTGACTGTGTGTGACTGTGTGTGTGTGACTGTGTGTGTGTGACTGTGTGTGACTGTGTGTGTGTGTGTACTGTGTGTGACTGTGTGTGACTGTGTGTGTGACTGTGTGACTGTGTGTGTGACTGTGTGTGACTGTGTGTGTGTGTGACTGTGTGTGACTGTGTGTGTGTGACTGTGTGTGTGTGACTGTGTGTGTGTGTGTGTGACTGTGTGTGACTGTGTGTGACTGTGTGTGTGTGTGTGTGACTGTGTGTGTGTGTGACTGTGTGTGACTGTGTGTGTGACTGTGTGTGTGTGTGTGACTGTGTGTGTGTGTGACTGTGTGTGTGTGACTGTGTGTGACTGTGTGTGTGTGTGTGACTGTGTGTGACTGTGTATGACTGTGTGTGTGTGTGACTGTGTGTGACTGTGTGTGTGACTGTGTGTGACTGTGTGTGTGTGTGACTGTGTGTGACTGTGTGTGTGACTGTGTGTGTGTGTGACTGTGTGTGACTGTGTGTGTGTGTGACTGTGTGTGACTGTGTGTGTGTGTGACTGTGTGTGACTGTGTGTGTGACTGTGTGTGTGTGTGACTGTGTGTGACTGTGTGTGTGACTGTGTGTGTGTGACTGTGTGTGACTGTGTGTGTGTGTGTGTGACTGTGTGTGACTGTGTGTGTGTGTGTGACTGTGTGTGACTGTGTGTGTGACTGTGTGTGACTGTGTGTGTGTGTGACTGTGTGTGACTGTGTGTGTGACTGTGTGTGTGTGTGACTGTGTGACTGTGTGTGACTGTGTGTGTGACTGTGTGTGTGACTGTGTGACTGTGTGTGTGACTGTGTGTGACTGTGTGTGTGTGTGACTGTGTGTGACTGTGTGTGTGTGACTGTGTGTGACTGTGTGTGTGTGTGTGACTGTGTGTGACTGTGTGTGACTGTGTGTGACTGTGTGTGTGTGACTGTGTGTGTGTGACTGTGTGTGACTGTGTGTGTGTGACTGTGTGTGTGACTGTGTGTGACTGTGTGTGACTGTGTGACTGTGTGTGACTGTGTGACTGTGTGTGACTGTGTGTGTGTGACTGTGTGTGTGTGTGACTGTGTGTGTGTGTGTGACTGTGTGTGTGTGACTGTGTGTGTGTGACTGTGTGTGTGTGACTGTGTGTGTGTGACTGTGTGACTGTGTGTGTACTGTGTGTGACTGTGTGTGTGTGACTGTGTGTGACTGTGTGTGACTGTGTGACTGTGTGTGTGTGACTGTGTGTGACTGTGTGTGACTGTGTGTGTGTGTGACTGTGTGTGTGACTGTGTGTGTGACTGTGTGACTGTGTGTGTGTGTGACTGTGTGACTGTGTGTGTGTGACTGTGTGTGTGTGACTGTGTGTGTACTGTGTGTGTGACTGTGTGTGTGTGACTGTGTGTGTACTGTGTGTGTGACTGTGTGTGTGTGTACTGTGTGTGTGACTGTGTGTGTGTGTGACTGTGTGTGTGTGACTGTGTGTGTGTGTACTGTGTGTGACTGTGTGTGTGTGACTGTGTGTGACTGTGTGTGACTGTGTGACTGTGTGTGTGTGACTGTGTGTGACTGTGTGTGACTGTGTGTGTGTGTGACTGTGTGTGTGACTGTGTGTGTGACTGTGTGACTGTGTGTGTGTGTGACTGTGTGACTGTGTGTGTGTGACTGTGTGTGTGTGACTGTGTGTGTACTGTGTGTGTGACTGTGTGTGTGTGACTGTGTGTGTGTGACTGTGTGTGTGTGACTGTGTGTGACTGTGTGTGACTGTGTGTGATTGTGTGTGTGTGTGACTGTGTGTGTGTGACTGTGTGACTGTGTGTGTGTGTAGGTGTGTGACTGTGTGTGTGTGACTGTGTGTGACTGTGTGTGTGTGTGACTGTGTGTGTGTGTGACTGTGTGACTGTGTGACTGTGTGTGTGTGTGACTGTGTGTGTGTGTGTGTGACTGTGTGTGTGTGTGTGTGACTGTGTGTGTGTGACTGTGTGTGTACTGTGTGTGTGACTGTGTGTGTGTGTACTGTGTGTGTGACTGTGTGTGTGTGTGACTGTGTGTGTGTGACTGTGTGACTGTGTGTGTACTGTGTGTGACTGTGTGTGTGTGACTGTGTGTGACTGTGTGTGACTGTGTGACTGTGTGTGTGTGACTGTGTGTGACTGTGTGTGACTGTGTGTGTGTGTGACTGTGTGTGTGACTGTGTGTGTGACTGTGTGACTGTATGTGTGTGTGACTGTGTGACTGTGTGTGTGTGACTGTGTGTGTGACTGTGTGTGTACTGTGTGTGTGACTGTGTGTGTGTGACTGTGTGTGTGTGACTGTGTGACTGTGTGTGACTGTGTGTGATTGTGTGTGTGTGTGACTGTGTGTGTGTGACTGTGTGACTGTGTGTGTGTGTAGGTGTGTGACTGTGTGTGTGTGTAGGTGTGTGACTGTGTGTGTGTGTGACTGTGTGTGACTGTGTGTGTGTGTGACTGTGTGTGTGTGTGACTGTGTGACTGTGTGTGTGTGTGACTGTGTGTGTGTGTGACTGTGTGTGTGTGTGTGTGTGACTGTGTGTGACTGTGTGTGTGTGACTGTGTGACTGTGTGTGTGTGACTGTGTGACTGTGTGTGTGTGACTGTGTGTGTGTGACTGTGTGTGACTGTGTGTGTGTGACTGTGTGACTGTGTGTGTGTGACTGTGTGTGTGTGTGACTGTGTGTGACTGTGTGTGTGTGACTGTGTGTGACTGTGTGTGTGTGTGACTGTGTGACTGTGTGTGTGTGTGTGTGACTGTGTGACTGTGTGTGTGTGTAGGTGTGCTTGGTCGACCCTGGCTCTTTCCGCGTGCTGGACGAGTTGGTGAGGAAGGAGACTGTGTGTGTGTGTGTGACTGTGTGTGTGTGTGACTGTGTGTGACTGTGTGTGTGACTGTGTGTGTGTGACTGTGTGTGACTGTGTGACTGTGTGTGTGACTGTGTGTGTGTGTGACTGTGTGTGACTGTGTGACTGTGTGTGTGACTGTGTGTGACTGTGTAGGTGTGACTGTGTGTGTGTGTGACTGTGTGTGTGACTGTGTGTGTGTGACTGTGTGTGTGTGACTGTGTGACTGTGTGTGTGTGTGACTGTGTGTGTGTGTGTGTGTGACTGTGTGTGTGACTGTGTGACTGTGTGTGTGTGTGTAGGTGTGCTTGGTCGACCCTGGCTCATTCCGCGTGCTGGACGAGTTGGTGAGGAAGGAGACTGTGTGTGTGTGTGACTGTGTGACTGTGTGTGACTGTGTGTGTGACTGTGTGTGTGTAGGTGTGTGTGACTGTGTGTGTGTGACTGTGTGACTGTGTGTGTAGGTGTGCTTGGTCGACCCTGGTTCGTTCCGCGTGCTGGACGAGTTGGTGAGGAAGGAGACTGTGTGTGTGTGTGACTGTGTGTGTGTGTGACTGTGTGACTGTGTGTGACTGTGTGTGTGTGACTGTGTGTGTGTGACTGTGTGTGACTGTGTGTGTGTGTAGGTGTGCTTGGTCGACCCTGGCTCATTCCGCGTGCTGGACGAGTTGGTGAGGAAGGAGACTGTGTGTGTGTGTGTGACTGTGTGTGTGTAGGTGTGTGTGACTGTGTGTGTGTGACTGTGTGACTATGTGTGTGTGTAGGTGTGCTTGGTCGACCCTGGTTCGTTCCGCGTGCTGGACGAGTTGGTGAGGAAGGAGACTCGGGGAGCCGGAGCTGTGGAGGTGCTCAGCCTCAAGGACGTGGAGGAGGGGGATGAGCGGCTGGAGTAGAGAACCACAACAACAACCACAACAACTACAACAACAACAACCACAACAACAACAACCACAACAACAACTACAACAACCACTACAATAACCACTACAACTACAACAACAACCACTACAATAACAACAACAACCACAACAACCACTACAATAACCACAACGACTACCACAACAACAACAACAACCACAACAACAACAAGCACAAACATTAAAACCACAATAACAACCACCACCATCATCACCACCATCATCACCACCATCATCACCACCATCATCACCACCATCATCACCACCACCATCACCACAATGGCAACGTCAATGATGTTAGGTGGCGATGATGACGATGGTGACGATGATGACGATGGTGACGATGGTGACGATGATGACGATGATGATTGTGGTGACGATGGTGACGATGATGACGATGGTGATGGTGGTGACGATGGTGACGATGTTGATGGTGGTGACGATGGTGACGATGGTGACGATGATGACGATGGTGACGATGGTGATGGTGGTGACGATGGTGACGATGGTGACGATGTTGATGGTGGTGACGATGGTGACGATGGTGACGATGATGACGATGACGATGCGGATGTCGTTGTGGCAAATTGAAACCCTCTGGTATGAATAAAACTCTTGATCATCTCTGGCGTGTGTGTTAGTGTTATTGTGTGTGTTAGTGTGTTAGTGTGTGTTAGTGTGTGTGTTAGTGTGTTTGTTAGTGTGTTTGTTAGTGTGTGTGTTAGTGTGTGTGTTAGTGTGTGTGTGTTAGTGTGTGTGTGTGTGTTAGTGTGTGTGTTAGTGTGTATGTGTGTTAGTGTGTGTGTTAGTGTGTGTGTTAGTGTGTGTGTTAGTGTGTGTGTGTGTTAGTGTGTGTGTGTGTTAGTGTGTTAGTGTGCGTGTGTTAGTGTGCGTGTGTGTTAGTGTGTGTGTGTGTTAGTGTGTGTGTTAGTGTGTGTGTTAGTGTGTGTGTGTGTTAGTGTGTGTGTGTTAGTGTGTGTGTGAGTGTGTGTGTGTGTTAGTGTGCGTGTGTTAGTGTGTGTGTTAGTGTGTGTGTTAGTGTGTGTGTTAGTGTGTGTGTGTTAGTGTGTGTGTTAGTGTGTGTGTTAGTGTGTGTGTTAGTGTGTGTGTTAGTGTGTGTTAGTGTGTGTGTGTGTGTTAGTGTGTGTGTGTTAGTGTGTGTGTGTTAGTGTGTGTGTGTTAGTGTGTGTGTGTTAGTGTGTGTGTGTGTGTGTTAGTGTGTGTGTTAGTGTGTGTGTGTTAGTGTGTGTGTTAGTGTGTGTGTTAGTGTGTGTGTTAGTGTGTGTGTGTGTTAGTGTGTGTGTGTGTTAGTGTGTTAGTGTGCGTGTGTTAGTGTGCGTGTGTGTTAGTGTGTGTGTGTGTTAGTGTGTGTGTTAGTGTGTGTGTGTTAGTGTGTGTGTGTGTTAGTGTGTGTGTGTTAGTGTGTGTGTGAGTGTGTGTGTGTGTTAGTGTGCGTGTGTTAGTGTGTTAGTGTGTGTGTGTGTGTTAGTGGGTGTGTGTTAGTGTGTGTGTTAGTGTGTGTGTGTTAGTGTGTGTGTGTTAGTGTGTGTGTGTTAGTGCGGCACGGGCTAGAGAAGAGATGGAGTGATGTGGTACAGGAGGACGTGGAGCTGAGTGGACTTGCCGATGACTGGTACCAGCGGTGTCAAGATCGGCCTCTGTGGAGGAGGCTCGTGAAGGATGCTGCTACTGGGCAGTTGGAGGCAGTCGCCCTCCAACAACAACGGAGGGCGGAGGAGCGACGCTCACAACAGCGAGCGGAGCGCCGGGTGGCTAAAGCACAGCAGGTTGGCACAGTAGGGGGCACAGGTGGTGCATCAGCCAGTCATCTCAGTCAGTCGACCCGTGGCACCTGGGTCTGCCCCGTGACCTCCTGCCAGCAGGCGTTCGACACTTCACGTGGCCTCAGGGTGCACCTAGCCTGGCACAAGCGTCGTGGTGACGTCACCGCCACTTAGTGGCGAATGGCGGTTGTTGTTGTTGTGTTAGTGTGTGTGTTAGTGTGTGTGTGTTAGTGTGTGTGTGTTAGTGTGTGTTAGTGTGTGTATGTTAGTGTGTGTGTGTTAGTGTGTGTGTTTGAGTGTGTGTGTTTGAGTGTGTGTGTTTGAGTGTGTGTTTGAGTGTGTGTTAGTGTGTGTGTGTTAGTGTGTGTGTGTTAGTGTGTGTGTTAGTGTGTGTGTTTGTGTGTGTGTTAGTGTGTGTGTTAGTGTGTGTGTTAGTGTGTGTGTTAGTGTGTGTGTGTGTTAGTGTGTGTGTTAGTGTGTGTGTGTTAGTGTGTGTGTGTGTTAGTGTGTGTGTGTTAGTGTGTGTGTTAGTGTGTGTGTTAGTGTGTGTGTGTTAGTGTGTGTGTTAGTGTGTGTGTTAGTGTGTGTGTTAGTGTGTGTGTTAGTGTGTGTTAGTGTGTGTGTGTGTGTTAGTGTGTGTGTTAGTGTGTGTGTGTTAGTGTGTGTGTGTTAGTGTGTGTGTGTTAGTGTGTGTGTGTTAGTGTGTGTGTTTGAGTGTGTGTGTTTGAGTGTGTGTGTTTGAGTGTGTGTGTTTGAGTGTGTGTTAGTGTGTGTGTGTTAGTGTGTGTGTTTGTGTGTGTGTTAGTGTGTGTGTTAGTGTGTGTGTGTGTTAGTGTGTGTGTGTTAGTGTGTGTTAGTGTGTGTGTTAGTGTGTGTGTGTTAGTGTGTGTGAGTGTGTGTGTTAGTGTGTGTGTTAGTGTGTGTGTTAGTGTGTGTGTTAGTGTGTGTGTGTGAGTGTGTGTGTGTGAGTGTGTGTGTTAGTGTGTGTGTTAGTGTGTGTGTTAGTGTGTGTGTGTTAGTGTGTGTGTGTTAGTGTGTGTGTGTTAGTGTGTGTGTTAGTGTGTGTGTTAGTGTGTGTGTGTTAGTGTGTGTGTTAGTGTGTGTGTTAGTGTGTGTGTTAGTGTGTGTGTGTTAGTGTGTGTGTGTTAGTGTGTGTGTGTTTGAGTGTGTGTGTTTGAGTGTGTGTGTTTGAGTGTGTGTGTTTGAGTGTGTGTGTTTGAGTGTGTGTTAGTGTGTGTGTTAGTGTGTGTGTGTTAGTGTGTGTGTTTGTGTGTGTGTTAGTGTGTGTGTTAGTGTGTGTGTGTTAGTGTGTGTGTGTTAGTGTGTGTGTGTTAGTGTGTGTGTGTTAGTGTGTGTGTTAGTGTGTGTGTGTTAGTGTGTGTGTTAGTGTGTGTGTGTTAGTGTGTGTGTGTTAGTGTGTGTGTGTTTGTGTGTGTGCGTTTGTGTGTGTGTTAGTGTGTGTGTGTTAGTGTGTGTGTGTTAGTGTGTGTGTTAGTGTGTGAGTGTTAGTGTGTTAGTGTGTGTGTGTTAGTGTGTTAGAGTGTGTGTTAGTGTGTGTGTGTGTTTGTGTGTGTGTGTTAGTGTGTGTGTGTTAGTGTGTGTGTGTTTGTGTGTGTGTGTTAGTGTGTGTGTGTTAGTGTGTGTGTGTTAGTGTGTGTGTGTTAGTGTGTGTGTGTGTTAGTGTGTGTGTGTGTTAGTGTGTGTGTTAGTGTGTGTGTGTTTGTGTGTGTGTTAGTGTGTGTGTGTTAGTGTGTGTGTGTTAGTGTGTGTGTGTTTGTGTGTGTGTGTTAGTGTGTGTGTTAGTGTGTGTGTGTTAGTGTGTGTGTGTTAGTGTGTGTTAGTGTGTGTGTGTTTGTGTGTGTGTGTTAGTGTGTGTGTGTTAGTGTGTGTGTGTTAGTGTGTGTGTGTTAGTGTGTGTGTTAGTGTGTGTGTGTTAGTGTGTGTGTGTTAGTGTGTGTGTGTTTGTGTGTGTGTGTTAGTGTGTGTGTTAGTCCCCTCCCCCTTCCAGTCACTCCCTTCCCCCCTCCAGCCCCTCCCCCTTCCAGCCCCTCCCCATCTCATCTAGCCCCTCCCCTCCCCCCTCAAGCCCCTCCCCTTCCAGCCCCTCCCCATCCCCTCTAGCCCCTCCCTCTTCCAGTCACTCCCCTCCCCCCTCCAGCCCCTCTCCCTTCCAGCCCCTCCCTATCTCCTCTAGCCCCTCCCTTCCCTCCTCAAGCCCCTCCCTCTCCAGCCCCTCCCCATCCGCCTTTAGCCCCTCCCCTCCCCCTCCAGCCCCTCCCCATCCCCTCTAGCCCCTCCCCTCACCCGTCCAGCCCCTCCCCCTTCCAGCCCCTCCCCATCCGCCTTTAGCCCCTCCCCCTCCAGTCACTCCCCATCCCCTCTAGCCCCTCCCCTGCAGTCTCTGCCCTCATCCCATTGGCTGGCAGAGACGACGGTGGTGGTGGTCACGGCCTCCATAGCAGCAGCGTCAGCGTCACCCTGCAATCAGCGCCCTGCACTAGAGGGACAGGAGGCAGTCACCGTCCAATCAGCGCCCTGCATTAGAGGGACAGGAGGCAGTCACCGTCCAATCAGCGCCCTGCATTAGAGGGACAGAAGGCCGGGTCATCATCCAATCAGCGCCCTGCAGTGGAGGGACAGGAGGCAGTCATCATCCAATCAGTGCCCTGCATTAGAGGGACAGGAGGCCGGGTCACCGTCCAATCAGCGCCCTGCAGTGGAGGGACAGGAGGCAGTCATCCAATCAGCGCCCTGCAGTAGAGGGACAGGAGGCCGGGTCACCGTCCAATCAGCGCCCTGCAGTAGAAGGGACAGGCGGCTGAGTCATCGTCCAATCAGCGCCCCCCTGCAGGGCGCGGGTCGCCATCCAATCAGCGCCCCCCTGCAGGGCGCGGGTTCACCATCCAATCAGCGCCCCCTGCAGGGCGCGGGTCGCCATCCAATCAGCACCCTGGACAGCTGCCGAGGCATTGCCGGCTGGGCCGTTACCCAGCGCCCTGCTCTCTCGCCCCTCCGTAATGGATCATCATCAGCATCAGCATCATCATCAGCAGCAGCAGCAGCAGCCTCACCATCACCACCACCATCATCATCAGCAGCATCATCAGCAGCATCAGCATCAGCAGCAGCAGCATCACCACCGCCCTGTGACGACCGGCGTTCCGGACTGGTGCCTCTGGCAGCTGCTCCTGCGGCTGGCGCTGAGCTCCCAGCTGCAGCGGACGGCGCTGGGAGTCGGCGCCCTAGTCGTCGCCTCCCTCTTCCTCTGGTACTGCTACCGGGTGGGGTGCGAAACGTCGTCTCCGCGGACGTCTCCCCGCACGGCGACGTCGGCGAGAAAATTCTCAGGTTCCGTCAAATCGTCAGCAGCAGCAGCAGCAGCATCGAGAAAATTCTCAGGTTCCATCAAATCATCATCATCAGCAGCAACATCGAGAAAATTCGCCGGTTCCATTAAATCATCATCAGCAGCAGCATCAGCAGCAGCATCATCATCATCAGCAGCAGCAGCAGCATCGCCATCACCGTCATCATCAGCAGCGGCATCAGCAGCAGCAGCGGTGTTGGAAAAAGGATTTTCGCTCGCTGCTAGCGGATGTCGTGGTCGTGGTAGTGGTGGTGGTAGTGGTGGTGGTAGTGGTGGTAGTGGTGGTGGTGGTAGTGGTAGTGGTGGTGGTAGTGGTGGTAGTGGTGGTGGTAGTGGTAGTGGTGGTGGTGGTGGTGGTGTGGTGGGTGTGGTGGTAGTGGTGGTGGTAGTGGTGGTAGTGGTGGTGGTGGTAGTGGTGGTGGTAGTGGTGGTAGTGGTGGTGGTAGTGGTGGTGGTAGTGGTGGTGGTGGTGGTAGTGGTGGTGGTAGTGGTGGTAGTAGTGGTGGTGGTGGTAGTGGTGTTAGTGGTGGTAGTGGTGGTGGTAGTGGTGGTGGTAGTGGTGGTAGTGGTGTTAGTGGTGTTAGTGGTGGTCTTGGCGTCATGATGGTCGGTCTGAGTTTGACCCGAGGCAACAACCACCACAACAACAACAACAGCTCAACAACAACCACAACAACAACAACAACCACCACCACCACCAACAACAACAACAACAACCGCAAGCTATACCGCAGCCTTCAGCACTACGCCAAGCGATACTCTTGGGCGGGAATGTCGCGAATTCACAAGGGGATCCGTGAGCGTGCCAGACTCGAACAACAACAACAACAACATCATCAGCATCATCATCATCATCATCAGCATCATCAGCAGCAGGGCGCGGCTCACGACCTCCCGGCGCGGCACGCTCTGCGGCTGCAGGCGGCCGAGGTGTTCCACGTGCCCGACCTACCCACGGCACCGTTCTTTCGCCGCGAGGCGCAACGGCACGACGTGGAGCTCCTCGAGCGCCACGTCGCGCTCCTGCTCGCAGAGTTCCACGGCGCCTACCGCTCGCTCGACTTGCACGCGGCCGCCGCGGCGGGAGGAGGAGGAGCTGGAGGTGGAGGTGGAGGAGTAGGAGGTGTAGGAGTAGGAGGAGTAGGAGGAGTAGGAGGAGTAGGAGTAGAAGGAGTAGGAGTAGGAGGAGTAGGAGGAGTAGGAGTAGGAGGAGTAGGAGTAGGAGTAGGTGGAGGAGTAGGCGTAGGAGGAGTAGGAGGAGTAGGAGGAGTAGGAGTAGAAGGAGTAGGAGTAGGAGGAGTAGGAGTAGTAGGAGTAGGAGGAGGAGGAGTAGTAGGAGTAGGTGGAGGTGGAGGAGTAGGAGGAGTAGGAGGAGGAGTAGTAGGAGTAGGAGTAGGTGGAGGTGGAGGAGTAGGAGGAGCTGGAGCTGGAGGAGCTGGAGGAGGAGCTGGAGCAGGAGTAGAAGCAGGAGGAGCAGAGTAGGAGGAGTAGGAGGAGTAGGAGTAGGAGGAGTAGGAGGAGTAGGAGGAGTAGGAGGAGTAGGAGTAGGAGGTGTAGGAGTAGGAGTAGTAGGAGTAGGAGGAGTAGGAGGAGTAGGAGTAGGTGGAGGAGTAGGGGTAGGAGTAGTAGGTGTAGGTGGAGGAGTAGGTGGAGGAGTAGGGGTAGGAGTAGGAGGAGGAGTAGTAGGAATAGAAGGTGGAGGAGTAGAAGGTGGAGGAGTAGGAGTAGGAGTAGAAGGTGTAGGTGGAGGAGTAGGAGGAGTAGGAGTAGGAGGTGGAGGAGTAGGAGGAGTAGGAGGAGGAGTAGGGGTAGGTGGAGTAGTAGGAGGAGTAGGAGCAGCTGCAGCAGTAGGAGCACCACCACCACCACCACCGTCGCCACCTCCGGCGCCGGGCTGGCTGAGCGATGATTCCTCCTCCTCCTCCTCGTCGTCGTGGTGGCGTTTCCCGCTGGTGAGCGGCGGGGTGAGGATGGTGGCCAACTGCAGGCGCTGCCCGGGCGCGTGGCGCCTGGTGCGAGCCCTCCGCACTGCCATCTGCAACAACGAATTCGGCAGCGCCGGCTTCGAGATGCTGCGTCCGGGGAGCCGCGTGCCCGAGAGATACGGACCCAGCAACGCGCGGGTCTGTTGCCACTTGGGTGAGTGAGTGGTGAGTGGGTGGTGAGTGGGTGTGGTGAGTGTGGTGAGTGTGGTGAGTGTGGTGAGTGTGTGTGGTGAGTGTGGTGAGTGTGGTGAGTGAGTGGTGAGTGAGTGCCCGAGAGATACGGACCCAGCAACGCGCGGGTCTGTTGCCACTTGGGTGAGTGAGTGTGGTGAGTGAGTGTGGTGAGTGTGGTGAGTGTGGTGAGTGAGTGGTGAGTGTGGTGAGTGAGTGTGGTGAGTGTGGTGAGTGAGTGTGGTGAGTGAGTGGTGAGTGAGTGCCCGAGAGATACGGACCCAGCAACGCGCGGGTCTGTTGCCACTTGGGTGAGTGAGTGTGTGTGGTGAGTGTGGTGAGTGGGTGTGGTGAGTGTGGTGAGTGAGTGTGGTGAGTGTGGTGAGTGAGTGTGGTGAGTGAGTGGTGAGTGAGTGCCGGAGAGATACGGACCCAGCAACGCGCGGGTCTGTTGCCACTTGGGTGAGTGAGTGGGTGGTGAGTGTGGTGAGTGAGTGTGGTGAGTGTGGTGAGTGTGTGTGGTGAGTGAGTGGTGAGTGTGGTGAGTGCCCGAGAGATACGGACCCAGCAACGCGCGGGTCTGTTGCCACTTGGGTGAGTGAGTGGGTGGTGAGTGTGTGTGGTGAGTGTGTGTGGTGAGTGTGGTGAGTGTGGTGAGTGTGGTGAGTGAGTGGTGAGTGAGTGCCGGAGAGATACGGACCCAGCAACGCGCGGGTCTGTTGCCACTTGGGTGAGTGAGTGTGTGTGGTGAGTGTGGTGAGTGTGTGTGGTGAGTGTGGTGAGTGAGTGTGGTGAGTGTGGTGAGTGAGTGTGGTGAGTGAGTGGTGAGTGAGTGCCGGAGAGATACGGACCCAGCAACGCGCGGGTCTGTTGCCACTTGGGTGAGTGAGTGGGTGGTGAGTGTGGTGAGTGAGTGTGGTGAGTGTGGTGAGTGTGTGTGGTGAGTGAGTGGTGAGTGTGGTGAGTGCCCGAGAGATACGGACCCAGCAACGCGCGGGTCTGTTGCCACTTGGGTGAGTGAGTGGGTGGTGAGTGTGTGTGGTGAGTGTGTGTGGTGAGTGTGGTGAGTGTGGTGAGTGTGGTGAGTGAGTGGTGAGTGAGTGCCGGAGAGATACGGACCCAGCAACGCGCGGGTCTGTTGCCACTTGGGTGAGTGAGTGTGTGTGGTGAGTGTGGTGAGTGTGTGTGGTGAGTGTGGTGAGTGAGTGTGGTGAGTGTGGTGAGTGAGTGTGGTGAGTGAGTGGTGAGTGAGTGCCGGAGAGATACGGACCCAGCAACGCGCGGGTCTGTTGCCACTTGGGTGAGTGAGTGGTGAGTGGGTGGTGAGTGTGTGTGGTGAGTGTGGTGAGTGAGTGGTGAGTGTGGTGAGTGAGTGTGGGTGGTGAGTGTGGTGAGTGAGTGTGGTGAGTGAGTGGTGAGTGTGGTGAGTGTGGTGAGTGAGTGTGGTGAGTGTGGTGAGTGTGGTGAGTGCCGGAGAGATACGGACCCAGCAACGCGCTGGTCTGTTGCCACTTGGGTGAGTGAGTGGGTGGTGAGTGTGTGGTGAGTGAGTGTGGTGAGTGTGGTGAGTGTGGTGAGTGAGTGGGTGAGTGAGTGAGTGACTGAGTGGCTGAGTGAGTGGTTGAGTGTGTGGTGAGTGTGGTGAGTGAGTGTGGTGAGTGTGGTGAGTAAGTGTGGTGAGTGTGGTGAGTGTGGTGAGTGAGTGTGGTGAGTGTGGTGAGTGTGGTGAGTGAGTGTGGTGAGTGTGGTGAGTGAGTGTGGCGAGTGTGGTGAGTGAGTGTGGTGAGTGTGGTGAGTGTGGTGAGTGAGTGTGGTGAGTGTGGTGAGTGGTTGAGTGTGTGTGGTGAGTGAGTGGTGAGTGAGTGGTGAGTGTGGTGAGTGTGGTGAGTGAGTGGTGAGTGTGGTGAGTGAGTGGTGAGTTGTGGTGAGTGTGGTGAGTGAGTGGTGAGTGTGGTGAGTGTGGTGCGTGAGTGTGGTGAGTGTGGTGAGTGAGTGGTGAGTGTGGTGAGTGTGGTGAGTGTGTGTGGTGAGTGTGGTGAGTGAGTGTGGTGAGTGTGGTGAGTGTGGTGAGTGAGTGTGGTGAGTGTGGTGAGTGAGTGTGGTGAGTGTGGTGAGTGAGTGTGGTGAGTGTGGTGAGTGTGGTGAGTGAGTGTGGTGAGTGTGGTGAGTGGTTGAGTGATTGAGTGTGGTGAGTGAGTGGCTGAGTGATTGAGTGGCTGAGTGTGGTGAGTGAGTGGTGAGTGTGGTGAGTGAGTGTGGTGAGTGGTTGAGTGTGGTGAGTGTGTGGTGAGTGTGGTGAGTGAGTGTGGTGAGTGAGTGTGGTGAGTGAGTGTGGTGAGTGTGGTGAGTGTGAATGGTGAGTGTGGCGAGTGTGGTGAGTGTGGTGAGTGAGTGTGGTGAGTGAGTGTGGTGAGTGTGGTGAGTGTGAGTGGTGAGTGTGGTGAGTGTGGTGAGTGAGTGTGGTGAGTGTGGTGAGTGGTTGAGTGATTGAGTGTGGTGAGTGAGTGGCTGAGTGATTGAGTGGCTGAGTGTGCTGAGTGGTTGAGTGTGGTGAGTGAGTGGTGAGTGTGGTGAGTGTGGTGAGTGAGTGGTTGAGTGGCTGAGTGGCTGAGTGTGGTGAGTGTGGTGAGTGTGGTGAGTGAGTGGCTGAGTGAGTGAGTGGTTGAGTAATTGAGTGGCTGAGTGAGTGAGTGGCTGAGTGGTTGAGTGTGGTGAGTGAGTGAGTGGCTGAGTGTATGAGTGAGTGGCTGAGTGGTTGAGTGAGTGTGTGAGTGAGTGTGGTGAGTGTGTGAGTGGCTGAGTGTATGAGTGTATGAGTGTGGTGATTGAGTGTGGCGAGTGAGTGTGTGAGTGATTGAGTGAGTGAGTGGCTGAGTGGTTGAGTGTGTGAGTGCGTGGTGAGTGTGTTCGTGAGTGGGTGGGTGAGTGGGTAAGTGAGTGGGTGAGTGAGTGAGTGGGTGAGTGAGTGAGTGGGTGAGTGAGTGAGTGGGTGAGTGAGTGGGTGAGTGGGTAAGTGAGTGGGTGAGTGAGTGAGTGAGTGGCTGAGTGGCTGAGTGGGTGAGTGAGTGGGTGAGTGGGTGAGTGGCTGAGTGGGTGAGTGAGTGGGTGAGTGGGTGAGTGGGTGAGTGAGTGAGTGGGTGAGTGAGTGGGTGAGTGGCTGAGTGGGTGAGTGGGTGAGTGAGTGGGTGAGTGTTTGAGTGAGTGGCTGAGTGGTTGAGTGAGTGAGTGAGTGTGGTGAGTGAGTGAGTGTGGTGAGTGTGTGAGTGAGTGTGTGAGTGAGTGTGTGAGTGAGTGAGTGGCTGAGTGAGTGAGTGTATGAGTGTGGTGAGTGTGTGAGTGTATGAGTGTGGTGAGTGAGTGTGGGGAGTGAGTGTGGTGAGTGAGTGAGTGTGGAGAGTGAGTGGGTGAGTGGCTGAGTGGGTGAGTGGTGAGTGAGTTAGTAGCTGAGTGAGTGGCTGAGTGGCTGAGTGAGTGGTGAGTGAGTGTGTGAGTGAGTGGGTGAGTGGGTGAGTGAGTGGGTGAGTGGTTGAGTGGTGAGTGGGTGAGTGGCTGAGTGGGTGAGTGGGTGAGTGAGTGGCTGAGTGGCTGAGTGGGTGAGTGGGTGAGTGAGTTGGTGAGTGGCTGAGTGGGTGAGTGAGTGGTTGAGTGGTGAGTGAGTGGCTGAGTGGGTGAGTGGCTGAGTGGGTGAGTGGCTGAGTGGGTGAGTGGCTGAGTGGGTGAGTGGCGGAGTGGGTGCGTGGTGAGTGAGTGAGTAGCTGAGTGGGTGAGTGGGTGAGTGAGTGGCTTAGTGGGTGAGTGGCTGAGTGGTTGAGTGAGTGGCTGAGTGAGTGGCTGAGTGGCTGAGTGAGTGGTGAGTGAGTGAGTGGCTGAGTGGTTGAGTGGTTGAGTGGTGGCGTTCACACCCCAGCACCCAGCACCATCAGGCTCACTCAAACCCCCCCACCTCCCCCCACCTCCCCCCACCCCCCCCACCTCCCCCCCCCCCCCCCCACCCCCCACCCCCCGCCTGCAGGCCTCAAGGCCCCTGGTGGATGCGAGCTGGTGGTGGGTGGCGAACCGCAGCGCTGGGTCGAGGGTCGTTGCCTCCTCTTCGATGATTCCTTCCTGCACACAGCCTCGCACGAAGGTCGTGCCGGGGGTGGGGGGGGGGTGGGGGGGAGGTGGGGGGGGTGGTGGGGGGGTGGTGGGGGGGAGGTGGGGGGGGGTAGTGGGGGGGTTGTGGTGGTGGGGGTGTGGTGGTAGTAGTAGTGTAGTAGTGTAGTAGTAGTGGTAGTAGTAGTAGTGGTAGTAGTAGTGGTAGTAGTAGTGGTAGTAGTGTTGTAGTATTAGTGGTAGTAGTAGTGTAGTAGTAGTGGTAGTAGTAGTCATAGTGGTAGTAGTAGTGGTAGTAGTAGTCATAGTGGTAGTAGTAGTGTAGTAGTAGTGGTGGTAGTAGTAGTAGTGTAGTAGTAGTAGTGGTAGTAGTAGTGGTAGTAGTAGTGGTAGTAGTGTAGTAGTAGTGTAGTAGTAGTGGTAGTAGTAGTGGTAGTAGTAGTGGTGGTAGTAGTAGTAGTGTAGTAGTAGTGTAGTAGTAGTAGTAGTAGTGGTAGTAGTGGTAGTAGTAGTGGTAGTAGTAGTGGTAGTAGTGGTAGTGGTGGTAGTAGTAGTGGTAGTAGTAGTGTAGTGTTAGTAGTAGTGTAGTAGTGTAGTAGTAGTAGTGTAGTAGTAGTAGTGTAGTAGTAGTAGTGGTAGTAGTAGTGGTAGTAGTAGTAGTGGTAGTAGTGTTGTAGTATTAGTGGTAGTAGTAGTAGTGGTAGTAGTGGTAGTAGTAGTGTAGTAGTGGTAGTAGTAGTGTAGTAGTAGTAGTGTAGTAGTGGTAGTAGTAGTGTAGTAGTAGTAGTGTAGTAGTGGTAGTAGTAGTAGTAGTGTAGTAGTGTAGTAGTAGTGTAGTAGTAGTAGTGGTAGTAGTAGTGTAGTAGTAGTAGTGGTAGTAGCAGTGTAGTAGTAGTAGTGTAGTAGTGGTAGTAGTAGTAGTGTAGTAGTGTAGTAGTAGTGTAGTAGTAGTAGTGGTAGTAGTAGTGGTAGTAGTAGTAGTGGTAGTAGTGGTAGTAGTGTAGTAGTAGTGGTAGTAGTAGTGGTAGTAGTGGTAGTAGTAGTAGTGGTAGTAGTGGTAGTAGTAGTAGTGTAGTAGTGGTAGTAGTAGTAGTGTAGTAGTGGTAGTAGTAGTAGTGTAGTAGTGGTAGTAGTAGTGGTAGTAGTAGTGGTAGTAGTGTTGTAGTATTAGTGGTAGTAGTAGTGTAGTAGTAGTGGTAGTAGTAGTCATAGTGGTAGTAGTAGTGGTAGTAGTAGTCATAGTGGTAGTAGTAGTGTAGTAGTAGTGGTGGTAGTAGTAGTAGTGTAGTAGTAGTAGTGGTAGTAGTAGTGGTAGTAGTAGTGGTAGTAGTGTAGTAGTAGTGTAGTAGTAGTGGTAGTAGTAGTGGTAGTAGTAGTGGTGGTAGTAGTAGTAGTGTAGTAGTAGTGTAGTAGTAGTAGTAGTGGTAGTAGTGGTAGTAGTAGTGGTAGTAGTAGTGGTAGTAGTGGTAGTGGTGGTAGTAGTAGTGGTAGTAGTAGTGTAGTGTTAGTAGTAGTGTAGTAGTGTAGTAGTAGTAGTGTAGTAGTAGTAGTGTAGTAGTAGTAGTGGTAGTAGTAGTGGTAGTAGTAGTAGTGGTAGTAGTGTTGTAGTATTAGTGGTAGTAGTAGTAGTGGTAGTAGTAGTAGTGGTAGTAGTAGTAGTGGTAGCAGTAGTAGTGTAGTAGTAGTGGTGGTGGTAGTAGTAGTGTAGTAGTAGTAGTAGTGGTAGTAGTAGTCATAGTGGTAGTAGTAGTGTAGTAGTAGTGGTGGTAGTAGTAGTAGTGTAGTAGTAGTAGTGGTAGTAGTAGTAGTGGTAGTAGTAGTGGTAGTAGTGTAGTAGTAGTGTAGTAGTAGTGGTAGTAGTAGTAGTAGTGGTAGTAGTGGTAGTAGTAGTGTAGTAGTAGTGGTAGTAGTAGTAGTGTAGTAGTAGTAGTGTAGTAGTAGTGTAGTAGTAGTAGTAGTGGTGGTAGTAGTAGTGTAGTAGTAGTAGTGGTAGTAGTGGTGGTAGTAGTGGTGGTAGTAGTAGTGGTAGTAGTGGTAGTAGTGTAATAGTGTAATAGTAGTAGTGTAGTAGTGGTAGTAGTGTAGTAGTAGTGTAGTAGTAGTGGTAGTAGTAGTGTAGTAGTAGTGGTAGTAGTAGTAGTGTAGTAGTAGTGTAGTAGTAGTGGTAGTAGTAGTGGTAGTAGTAGTGGTAGTAGTAGTGTAGTAGTAGTGTAGTAGTAGTGGTAGTAGTAGTGGTAGTAGTAGTAGTGTAGTAGTAGTAGTGGTAGTAGTAGTGTAGTAGTAGTGTAGTAGTAGTGGTAGTAGTAGTGGTAGTAGTAGTAGTGGTAGTTGTGGTAGTAGTAGTAGTGTAGTAGTGGTAGTAGTAGTAGTGTAGTAGTGGTAGTAGTAGTAGTGGTAGTAGTAGTGGTAGTAGTGTTGTAGTATTAGTGGTAGTAGTAGTAGTGTAGTAGTAGTGGTAGTAGTAGTCATAGTGGTAGTAGTAGTGGTAGTAGTAGTCATAGTGGTAGTAGTAGTGTAGTAGTAGTGGTGGTAGTAGTAGTAGTGTAGTAGTAGTAGTGGTAGTAGTAGTGGTAGTAGTATTGGTAGTAGTGTAGTAGTAGTGTAGTAGTGGTAGTAGTAGTGGTAGTAGTAGTGGTGGTAGTAGTAGTAGTGTAGTAGTAGTGTAGTAGTAGTAGTAGTGGTAGTAGTGGTAGTAGTAGTGGTAGTAGTAGTGGTAGTAGTGGTAGTGGTGGTAGTAGTAGTGGTAGTAGTAGTGTAGTAGTAGTAGTAGTGTAGTAGTAGTGTAGTAGTAGTAGTGTAGTAGTAGTGTAGTAGTAGTAGTGGTAGTAGTAGTGGTAGTAGTAGTAGTGGTAGTAGTGTTGTAGTATTAGTGGTAGTAGTAGTAGTGGTAGTAGTAGTAGTGGTAGTAGTAGTAGTGGTAGCAGTAGTAGTGTAGTAGTAGTGGTGGTGGTAGTAGTAGTGTAGTAGTAGTGGTAGTAGTAGTCATAGTGGTAGTAGTAGTGTAGTAGTAGTGGTGGTAGTAGTAGTAGTGTAGTAGTAGTAGTAGTGGTAGTAGTAGTAGTGGTAGTAGTAGTGGTAGTAGTGTAGTAGTAGTGTAGTAGTAGTAGTGGTAGTAGTAGTGGTAGTAGTAGTGGTAGTAGTGGTAGTAGTGGTAGTAGTAGTGTAGTAGTAGTGGTAGTAGTAGTAGTGTAGTAGTAGTAGTGTAGTAGTAGTGTAGTAGTGTAGTAGTAGTAGTGGTGGTAGTAGTAGTGTAGTAGTAGTAGTGGTAGTAGTGGTGGTAGTAGTGGTGGTAGTAGTAGTGGTAGTAGTGGTAGTAGTGTAATAGTGTAATAGTAGTAGTGTAGTAGTGGTAGTAGTGTAGTAGTAGTGGTAGTAGTAGTGCAGTAGTAGTGTAGTAGTAGTGTAGTAGTAGTGGTAGTAGTAGTGTAGTAGTAGTGGTAGTAGTAGTAGTGTAGTAGCAGTGTAGTAGTAGTGGTAGTAGTAGTGGTAGTAGTAGTGGTAGTAGTAGTGTAGTAGTAGTGGTAGTAGTAGTGGTAGTAGTAGTGTAGTAGTAGTAGTGGTAGTAGTAGTGTAGTAGTAGTGGTAGTAGTAGTGGTAGTAGTAGTGGTAGTAGTGGTAGTAGTAGTGTAGTAGTAGTAGTGTAGTAGTAGTGGTAGTAGTAGTGGTAGTAGTAGTAGTGTAGTAGTAGTGGTAGTAGTAGTGGTAGTAGTAGTGGTAGTAGTGTAGTAGTAGTGGTAGTAGTAGTAGTGGTAGTAGTGTAGTAGTAGTGGTAGTAGTAGTGGTGGTAGTAGTAGTAGTAGTGGTAGTAGTGTAGTAGTGGTAGTAGTGTAATAGTAATAGTAGTGGTAGTAGTAGTAGTGTAGTAGTAGTGTAGTAGTAGTGGTAGTAGTAGTGTAGTAGTAGTGTAGTAGTAGTAGTGGTGGTAGTAGTAGTGGTGGTAGTAGTAGTGGTAGTAGTAGTAGTGGTAGTAGTGGTGGTATTAGTGGTGTAGTTGTAGTGTAGTAGTAGTGGTAGTAGTAGTGTAGTAGTAGTAGTAGTGTAGTAGTAGTGTAGTAGTAGTAGTAGTAGTGGTAGTAGTGGTGGTAGTATTGGTGGTAGTAGTAGTGGTAGTAGTGGTAGTAGTGTAATAGTAGTAGTAGTGGTAGTAGTAGTGTAGTAGTAGTGTGGTAGTAGTGGTAGTAGTAGTGTAGTAGTAGTAGTATTAGTGGTAGTAGTAGTAGTGGTAGTAGTAGTAGTGTAGTAGTAGTGTAGTAGTAGTGGTAGTAGTAGTAGTGTAGTAGTGTAGTAGTAGTAGTGGTAGTAGTAGTGGTAGTAGTAGTAGTGGTAGTAGTGGTAGTAGTAGTGGTAGTAGTAGTGGTAGTAGTGTAGTAGTAGTGTAGTAGTAGTAGTGGTAGTAGTGTAGTAGTAGTAGTGGTAGTAGTAGTGTAGTAGTAGTGGTGGTAGTAGTAGTAGTAGTGGTAGAAGTAGTGTTGTAGTATTAGTAGTAGTGTAGTAGTAGTGGTGGTAGTGGTAGTAGTAGTGGTAGTAGTGGTAGTTGTAGTGGTAGTAGTGGTGGTAGTAGTAGTGGTGGTAGTAGTAGTGGTAGTAGTGGTGGTAGTAGTAGTGGTAGTAGTCGTAGTAGTAGTGTAGTAGTGGTAGTAGTGGTAGTAGTAGTGGTAGTAGTGTAGTAGTGTAGTAATAGTAGTGGTAGTAGTGTAGTAGTAGTAATGGTAGTAGTGGTAGTAGTGGTAGTAATAGTGGTAGTATTAATAGTGGTAGTAGTGTAGTAGTAGTAGTGGTAGTAGTAGTGGTAGTAGTGTAGTCGTAGTGGTAGTATTAGTAGTGGTAGTAGTGGTAGTAGTAGTAGTGGTAGTAGTAGTGGTAGTCGTAATGGTAGTAGTAATGGTAGTAGTGGTGGTAGTAGTAGTATAGTGGTAGTGGTAGTAATAGTAGTGGTAGTAATAGTGGTAGTAGTAGTGGTAGTAGTAGTGGTAGTAGTGGTAGTGGTAGTAGTAGTAGTGGTATTAGTAGTGGTAGTAGTAGTGGAGTTGAAGTGGTAGTAGTAGTGTAGTAATAGTGGTAGTAGTGGTAGTAGTAGTGGTAGTAGTAGTGGTAGTAGTGGTAGTAGTAGTGTAGTAGTAGTAGTGGTAGTAGTAGCGGTAGTAGTAGTAGTGGTAGAAGTAGTGTTGTAGTATTAGTGGTAGTAGTAGTAGTGTAGTAGTAGTGGTAGTAATGGTAGTAGTAGTAGTGTAGTAGTAGTAGTGGTAGTAGTATTGGTAGTAGTAGAAGTGGTAGTAGTAGCAGTGTAGTACTAGTAGTGGTAGAAGTAGTGTAGTAGTAGTGTTGTAGTAGTAGTGGTAGTAGTAGAAGTGTAGTAGTAATGGTAGTAGTAGTAGTGGTAGTAGTGGTGGTAGTGGTAGTAGTAGTGTAGTAGTAGTAGTGGTGATGGTGGTGGTGGTAGTGGTGGTGGTAGGAGTGGTAGTAGTAGTGGTAGTAGTAGGGGTAGTAGTAGTAGTAGGGGTAGTAGTGGTAGTAGTGGTAGTAGTAGTGGTAGTAGTGGCAGTAGTGGTGGTAGTAGTAGTAGTGGTAGTAGTGTTTGTAGTAGTAGTGGTAGTAGTGTAGTAGTGGTAGTAGTAGTGGTAGTAGTAGTAGTGGTAGTAATAGTGGTAGTAGTAGTAGTGGTAGTAGTAGTAGTAGTGGTGGTGGTCGTAGTAGTGGTGGTAGTAGTAGTGGTGGTGGTAGTAGTAGTGTAGTAGTAGTGTAGTAGTGGTAGTAGTAGTGTAGTAGTAGTGGTAGTAGTAGTGTAGTAGTAGTGGTAGTAGTAGTAGTGTAGTAGTGGTAGTAGTAGTAGTGTAGTAGTGGTAGTGTAGTAGTGGTAGTAGTGTAGTAGTAGTGGTAGTAGTAGTGGTAGTAGTAGTGGTGGTGGTTGTAGTAGTGGTAGTAGTGGTTGTTGTGGTGGTTGTGGTGGTGGTTGTGGTGGTTGTTGTTGTTGTGGTTGTGGTGGTTGTAGTAGTGGTTGTTGTGGTTGTTGTTGTGGTTGTTGTCGTGGTTGTGGTTGTTGTTGTGATTGTTGTTGTTGTTGTGATTGTTGTTGTTGTGGTTGTTGTTGTGGTTGTTGTTGTGGTTGTTGTTGTTGTGGTTGTTGTTGTTGTGATTGTTGTTGTTGTTGTGATTGTTGTGGTTGTTGTGGTTGTTGTTGTGGTTGTTGTTGTTGTGGTGGTTGTAGTAGTGGTGGTTGTTGTGGTTGGTGTTGTGGTTGTTGTTGTGGTTGTTGTTGTTGTGGTTGTTGTTGTGGTTGTTGTTGTGGTTGTTGTTGTTGTGGTGGTTGTAGTAGTGGTGGTTGTTGTGGTTGTTGTTGTTGTGGTTGTTGTTGTGGTTGTTGTGGTGGTTGTTGTGGTGGTTGTAGTAGTGGTGGTTGTTGTGGTTGTTGTTGTTGTGGTGGTTGTAGTAGTGGTGGTTGTTGTGGTTGTAGTTGTGGTGGTTGTTGTGGTTGTAGTTTTTGTTGTTGTTGTTGTTGTAGTTGTGTTTGTTGTGGTTGTTGTGGTTGTAGTAGTGGTGGTTGTTGTGGTTGTAGTTTTTGTTGTTGTCGTGGTTGTTGTTGTTGTTGTGATTGTTGTTGTTGTGATTGTTGTTGTTGTGATTGTTGTTGTTGTGATTGTTGTTTACTTCCCGCTGTGCCCCCCCCCTGCCCCCCCCCCTGCCCCAGGCCCCCCTGAGGAGGGTCCCCTCGTGGTGTTCTCTGTCGACCTGTGGCACCCAAACGTGGCTGCAGCAGAGCGGCAAGCCCTGGACTTCATCTTCAGTCCCTCTCACTGACACACTCACTGACACACTCACTGACACACTCACTGACACACTCACTGACACACTCACTGACACAGTGACAAGCCCTGGACTTCATCTTCAGTCCCTCTCACTGACACACTCACTGACACACTCACTGACACACTCACTGACACACTGACACACTCACTGACACACTGACACACTCACTGACACACTCACTGACACACTCACTGACTCACTGACACACTCACTGACACACTCACTGACACACTCACTGACACAGTGACAAGCCCTGGACTTCATCTTCAGTCCCTCTCACTGACACACTCACTGACACACTCACTGACACACTCAATGACACACTCACTGACACATTCACTGACACACTCACTGACACACTCACTGACACAGTGACAAGCCCTGGACTTCATCTTCAGTCCCTCTCACTGACACACTCACTGACACACTCACTGACACACTCACTGACACACTCACTGACACACTGACACACTCACTGACACACTCACTGACACACTCACTCACTCACTGACACACTCACTGACACACTCACTGACTCACTGACACACTCACTGACACAGTGACAAGCCCTGGACTTCATCTTCAGTCCCTCTCACTGACACACTCACTGACACACTCACTGACACACTCACTGACTCACTGACACACTCACTGACACACTCACTGACACAGCGGCAAGCCCTGGACTTCATCTTCAGTCCCTCTCACTGATACACTCACTGACACACTCACTGACACACTCACTGACACACTCACTGACACACTCACTGACACACTGACACACTCACTGACACACTCACTGACACACTCACTGACACAGTGACAAGCCCTGGACTTCATCTTCAGTCCTTCTCACTGACACACTCACTGACACACTCACTGACACACTCACTGACACAGTGAAAAGCCCTGGACTTCATCTTCAGTCCCTCTCACTGACACACTCACTGACACACTCACTGACACACTCACTGACACACTCACTGACACACTGACACACTCACTGACACACTCACTGACACAGTGACAAGCCCTGGACTTCATCTTCAGTCCCTCTCACTGACACACTCACTGACACACTCACTGACACACTCACTGACACACTCACTGACACACTCACTGACACAGTGACAAGCCCTGGACTTCATCTTCAGTCCCTCTCACTGACACACTCACTGACACACCCACTGACACACTCACTGACACACTCACTGACACAGCGGCAAGCCCTGGACTTCATCTTCAGTCCCTCTCACTGACACACTCACTGACACACTCACTGACACACTCACTGACACACTCACTGACACACTCACTGACACAGTGACAAGCCCTGGACTTCATCTTCAGTCCCTCTCACTGACACACTCACTGACACACTCACTGACACACTCACTGACACACTCACTGACACACTCACTGACACAGTGACAAGCCCTGGACTTCATCTTCAGTCCCTCTCACTGACACACTCACTGACACACTCACTGACACACTCACTGACACAGTGACAAGCCCTGGACTTCATCTTCAGTCCCTCTCACTGACACACTCACTGACACACTCACTGACACACTCACTGACACACTCACTGACACACTCACTGACACAGCGGCAAGCCCTGGACTTCATCTTTAGTCCTTCTCACTGACACACTCACTGACACACTCACTGATACACTCACTGACACATTCACTGACACACTCACTGACACACTCACTGACACAGCGGCAAGCCCTGGACTTCATCTTCAGTCCCTCTCACTGACACACTCACTGACACACTCACTGACACACTCACTGACACACTGACACACTCACTGACACACTCACTGACACACTCACTGACACACTCACTGACACAGTGACAAGCCCTGGACTTCATCTTCAGTCCCTCTCACTGACACACTCACTGACACACTCACTGACACACTGACACACTCACTGACAAACTCACTGACACACTCACTGACACACTCACTGACACAGTGACAAGCCCTGGACTTCATCTTAAGTCCCTCTCACTGACACACTCACTGACACACTCACTGACACACTCACTGACACACTCACTGACACACTGACACACTCACTGACACACTCACTGACACACTCACTGACACACTCACTGACACACTGACACTCTCACTGACACACTGACACACTCACTGACACACTCACTGACACACTCACTGACGCACTCACTGACACACTCACTGACACAGCGGCAAGCCCTGGACTTCATCTTCAGTCCCTCTCACTGACACACTCACTGACACACTCACTGACACACTCACTGACACACTGACACACTCACTGACACACTCACTGACACACTCACTGACACAGTGAAAAGCCCTGGACTTCATCTTCAGTCCCTCTCACTGACACACTCACTGACACACTCACTGACACACTCACTGACACACTCACTGACACACTCACTGACACAGTGACAAGCCCTGGACTTCATCTTCAGTCCCTCTCACTGACACACTCACTGACACACTCACTGACACACTCACTGACACACTCACTGACACACTGACACTCTCACTGACACACTGACACACTCACTGACACACTCACTGACACACTCACTGACGCACTCACTGACACACTCACTGACACAGCGGCAAGCCCTGGACTTCATCTTCAGTCCCTCTCACTGACACACTCACTGACACACTCACTGACGCACTCACTGACACACTGACACACTCTCTGACACACTCACTGACACACTCACTGACACAGTGAAAAGCCCTGGACTTCATCTTCAGTCCCTCTCACTGACACACTCACTGACACACTCACTGACACACTCACTGACACACTCACTGACACACTCACTGACACAGTGACAAGCCCTGGACTTCATCTTCAGTCCCTCTCACTGACACACTCACTGACACACTCACTGACACACTCACTGACACACTCACTGACACACTCACTGACACAGTGACAAGCCCTGGACTTCATCTTCAGTCCCTCTCACTGACACACTCACTGATACACTCACTGACACATTCACTGACACACTCACTGACACACTCACTGACACAGTGACAAGCCCTGGACTTCATCTTCAGTCCCTCTCACTGACACACTCACTGACACACTCACTGACACACTCACTGACACACTCACTGACACACTCACTGACACAGCGGCAAGCCCTGGACTTCATCTTCAGTCCCTCTCACTGACACACTCACTGACACACTCACTGACACACTGACGCACTCACTGATGCACTCACTGACACACTCACTGACACATTCACTGACACACTCACTGACACACTCACTGACACAGCGGCAAGCCCTGGACTTCATCTTCAGTCCCTCTCACTGACACACTCACTGACACACTCACTGACACACTCACTGACACACTCACTGACACACTCACTGACACAGTGACAATCCCTTCATCTTCACTGACACACTCACTGACACAGTGACAATCTCTGTGACTCCATCTTCACTTACACACTCACTGACACACTGACAATCCCCGTGACTTCACTGACACACTCACTGACACACTCACTGACACACTCACTGACACAGTGAAAATCCCTGTGAATTCACTGACACACTCACTGACACGGTGACAATCCCTGTGACGTCACTGACACTCACTGACACACTCACTGACACACTCACTGACACACTCACTGACACAGTGACATTCCCTTAATCTTCACTGACACACTCACTGACACAGTGACAATCCCTTAATCTTCACTGACACACTCACTGACACAGTGACAATCCCTCCATCTTCACTGACACACTCACTGACACAGTGACAATCCCTTCATCTTCACTGACACACTCACTGACACACTCACTGACACAGTGACAATCCCTGTGACTCCATCTTCACTGACACACTCACTGACACAGTGACAATCCCCGTGCCTCCATCTTCACTGACACACTCACTGACACAGTGACAATCCCTCCATCTTCACTGACACACTCACTGACACACTCACTGACACAGTGACAATCCCTCCATCTTCACTGACACACTCACTGACACACTCACTGACACAGTGACAATCCCTGTGACGTCACTGACACACTCACTGACACACTCACTGACACACTCACTGACACAGTGACAATCCCTTCATCTTCACTGACACACTCACTGACACAGTGACAATCCCCGTGACTTCACTGACACACTCACTGACACACTCACTGACACACTCACTGACACAGTGACAATCCCTTCATCTTCACTGACACACTCACTGACACACTCACTGACACAGTGACAATCCCTGTGACTCCATCTTCACTGACACACTCACTGACACAGTGACAATCCCCGTGCCTCCATCTTCACTGACACACTCACTGACACAGTGACAATCCCTCCATCTTCACTGACACACTCACTGACACACTCACTGACACAGTGACAATCCCTGTGACGTCACTGACACACTCACTGACACACTCACTGACACACTCACTGACACAGTGACAATCCCTTCATCTTCACTGACACACTCACTGACACACTCACTGACACACTCACTGACACACTCACTGACACAGTGACAATCCCTTCATCTTCACTGACACACTCACTGACACACTCACTGACACACTCACTGACACACTCACTGACACAGCGGCAAGCCCTGGACTTCATCTTCAGTCCCTCTCACTGACACACTCACTGACACACTCACTGACACACTCACTGACACACTCACTGACACACTCACTGATCAGTTTCCACATTTGAGTGTCTCATCAGCAGCTGAGCGAGGCTTCGCTTCGACCAATGCTCCTGGCTCGCCATGCACGTGACGGCGATCAAATAAAAACCATCTCTTCCTGTCAACGTGTGTACGTGTACGTGTGTGTGTGTACGTGTGTGTGTGTACGTGTGTGTACACATGTGTGTGTACGTGTGTGTACGTGTGTGTGTACGTGTGTGCGTGTGCGTGTGTGTGTACGTGTGTGTGTGTACGTGTGTGTGTGAGTGTACGTGTGTGTGTGTGTACGTGTGTGTGTGTGTGTACGTGTGGGTACGTGTGTACGTGTGTGTGTATGTGTGTACGTGTGTACGTGTGTGTGTGTGTACTGGTGTTTGTGTACGTGTGTGTGTGTGCGTGTGTGTGTATGTGTGTACGTGTGTGTACGTGTGTGTGTGTGTACGTGTGTGTGTGTGTGTACGTGTGTGTGTACGTGTGTTTACGTGTGTGTACGTGTGTGTGTGTACGTGTGTGTGTGTACGTGTGTGTACGTGTGTGTGTGTACGTGTGTGTACGTGTGTACGTGTGTGTGTGTACGTGGGTACGTGTGTGTACGTGTGTGTGTACGTGTGTGTGTACGTGTGTGTGTACATGTGTGTGTATGTGTGTGTATGTGTGTGTGTGTGTACGTGTGTGTGTACGTGTGTGTGTACGTCTGTACGTGTGTGTGTACGTGTGTGTGTACGTGTGTGTGTGTGCGTGTGTGTGTACGTGTGTGTGTGTGTGTGTACGTGTGTGTACGTGTGTACGTGTGTGTACGTGTGTACGTGTGTGTACGTGTGTGTGTACGTGTGTGTGTACGTGTGTACGTTTGTGTGTACGTGTGTGTGTACGTGTGTGTACGTGTGTGTGTGTGTGTACGTGTGTGTGTGTACGTTCTTCGTGCTTTTGGAGTACCTGACCCTCTGCTCACGATCATTAAGGACCTTCATGATGGTGAGCGGGCCCGGGTAAAACTACGTGGCCGGGAGTCAGAGCCATTCCCTGTACACCTTGGGGTGCGACAGGGATGTCCTCTGGCTCCCACATTATTTAACATCTATTTTGACCACGTAGTTCGTGAAGCCTTCAATTGCTGTACCGGGGGAATCTCCATATGGTACAGATATAATGGGAGGCTAATCGATGCCCGGGTGCGGTCAAGGGATGGCTCCCTATTGCTCAACCACGTTATGTATGCTGATGACTTGGTAATAGCTGCTCAGTCAGAGGAGGAGTTGGAGACGCTGCTGCTGAGACTGGAGCGTGCCACTAAGAGGTGGGGCCTTACCATCAGCCCCACCAAAACTAAGCACCTGCCTGGGTGTTTTGTACCATCGGACACTCCACCCCCACAACTCCCAATCGGTGATGGGGCAGTTGTGGAGAGAGTGGAGAGTTTCCCATACCTGGGCAGTGTGCTTATGACTGGCTCCAGTTTAACAGCAGAGGTCTCACTCCGAATCAGTCGAGCGGCAATATCTTTTCATCGGTTGCGTAACGCTGTGTGGAAGCTACCTGGTCTGTCGCTCCGCACTAAGCTTCAGGTCTTCTCGGCCACGGTCATTCCCTCCCTTCTCTACGCTTGCGAAACGTGGACCCCCCTAATGGAACATCTTCGCCGGTTAGAAACATTTAGGCTGACCTGCCTACGATCCATCCTGGGTTTAACCAGACTGGATTGTGTGAGGAGCTCACAAATCCTTGAAAGATCTGGGCAGGGTCCGATCGGTGAGCTCCTCCGGCAGGCAAGGCTGCGATGGCTGGGTCATGTAGCCCGCATGCCCAGCCACCGCATGCCGAAACAGCTTTTGTTTGGCCGGATTGAGGGGGCTAAGCGGGCGCGGCACGGGCTAGAGAAGAGATGGAGTGATGTGGTACAGGAGGACGTGGAGCTGAGTGGACTTGCCGATGACTGGTACCAGCGGTGTCAAGATCGGCCTCTGTGGAGGAGGCTCGTGAAGGATGCTACTGGGCAGTTGGAGGCAGTCGCCCTCCAACAACAACGGAGGGTGGAGGAGCGACGCTCACAACAGCGAGCGGAGCGCCGGGTGGCTAAAGCACAGCAGGTTGGCACAGTAGGGGGCACAGGTGGTGCATCAGCCAGTCATCTCAGTCAGTCGACCCGTGGCACCTGGGTCTGCCCCGTGACCTCCTGCCAGCGGGCGTTCGACACTTCACGTGGCCTCAGGGTGCACATAGCCTGGCACAAGCGTCGTGGTGACGTCACCGCCACTTAGTGGCGAATGGCGGTTGTTGCTGTTGTGTGTACGTGTGTGTATGTGTGTACGTGTGTACGTGCACGTGTGTGTGTGCGTGTGTGTACGTGTGTGTGTACGTGTGTGTGTACGTGTGTACGTGTGTGTACGTGTGTGTGCGTGTGTGTGTGTACGTGTGTGTGTGTACGTGTGTACGTGTGTGTGTACGTGTGTGTGTGTGTGTACGTGTGTGTGTACGTGTGTGTACTTGTGTGTGTACGTGTGTGTACGTGTGTGTGTGTACGTGTGTGTGTACGTGTGTGTGTACGTGTGTATACGTGTGTGTGTGTACGTGTGTACGTGTGTGTGTACGTGTGTGTGTGCGTGTGTACGTGTGTGTGTACGTGTGTGTATGTGTGTGTGTGTACGTGTGTGTGTGTACGTGTGTGTGTGTACGTGTGTGTTTGTACGTGTGTACGTGTGTGTGTGTGCGTGTGTGTACGTGTGTGTGTACGTGTGTGTGTACGTGTGTGTACGTGTGTGTGTACGTGTGTGTGTGTACGTGTGTGTGTGTGTGTACGTGTGCGTGTACGTGTGTGTGTGTACGTGTGTGTACGTGTGTGTGTACGTGTGTGCGTGTGTGTGTGTATGTGTACGTGTGTATGTGTGTGTGTACGTGTGTGTGTACGTGTGTACGTGTGTGTGTACGTGTGTGTACGTGTGTGTGTGTACGTGTATGTGTGTATGTGTGTGTGTGTGTACGTGTGTGTGTATGTGTGTGTGTGTACGTGTGTGTGTACGTGTGTGTGTACGTGTGTGTGTGTACGTGTGTACATGTGTGTGTGTGTGCGTGTGTATGTGTGTACGTGTGTACGTGTGCGTGTACGTGTGTACGTGTGTGTGTTTGCGCGTGTGTGTACGTGTGTGTGTACGTGTGTGTGTGTACGTGTGTGTGTGTGTACGTGTGTGTGCGTACGTGTGTGTACGTGTGTGCGTTTACGTGTGTGTGTGTACGTGTGTGTACGTGTGTGTACGTGTGTGTGCGTGTACGTGTGCGTGTATGTGTTTGTACGTGTGTGTGTGTACGTGTGTGTGTACGTGTGTGTACGTGTGTGTGTGTGTACGTGTGTGTGTACGTGTGTGTGTACGTGTGTACGTGTGTGTGTTTGCGCGT